AAAAAAAAAAAAAATTCTTCCTTTTTAAAGCTAAGTGATGGGCCAGGTGCAGTGGCTCACACCTGAAATCCCAGCACTTTGGGAGGTTGAGACAGGTGGATCACTCGAGCTCAGGAGTTCAGGACCAGCCTGGGCAACATGGCAAAACCCCATCTCTACAAAAAATACAAAAATTAGCCAGGTGTTACAGTTAGTACGTTCTCATGCTGCTATGGAGACATGCCTAGGACTGGGTAATTTGTGAAGGAAAGATGTTTAATTGACTCACAGTTCAGCATGGCTTGGGAGGCCTCAGGAAACTTACAATCATGGCAGAAGGGGAAGTAAACACATCCTTCTTCACATGGTGGCAGCAAGGAGAATGAGTGCCCAGTGAAGTGGGGAGCACCTTACAAAACCATCAGGTCTTGTGAGAACTTGCTCACTATCACAAGAACAGGATGGGGGAAACCAACCCCATGATTCAGTTATCTCCACCTGGTTCCTCCCATGACAGAGGAGAGGATTTTGGGAACTACAATTCAAGATGAGATTTGGGTGGGGATACAGCTAAACCCTATTAGATGTGGTGGTGTGTACCTGTGGTCCCAGCTACTTGGGAGGCTGAGGTGGGAGGATCACTTGAGTCAGGGGGATGGAGCTTACAGTGAGCTAAGATCTCACCACTGCACTCCACTCCAACCTGGGTGACCCAGCAAGACCCTGTCTCAAAAACAAACAAAAAACTAAACTAAATGATATTCCGTTGTGTGTGTGTGTTTATATACACCACTTTTTTTGTTCTTTTTTAGATGGAGTCTCTCTCTGTAGCCCAGGCTAGAGTGCAGTGGTGCGATCTCGGCTCACTGCAACCTCTGCCTTCTGGGTCCCATTACATTAATTTCTTTTGGGCTGGATTATTGTTTTCCCTCTCCCTCTCACTCCTCTCCCTAGCACTGCACCTCCACACACACACATACCATCCGTCCCACCCCTTCCACCACAAACACCATCCCTGACTGGTTTTGCTACTGTTTTCATTCCAACCCTTCACATCTCTAGTCTAGAACTGGGCCTTATTATATGGAACTTTGGAGCTCCTATTTTTCAGTGAAATTAATGAAACTAGGAGTGTTGCAGATCTTGTCATGAGTCTTGGATCTCTTGACTCAGTTGCCGGTCATGAAGCTGTCCTTTTTTTCCTCACCTCCTTACTATAAATGTGTAGTCCTACTGAGGTGGTTTTGTTCTGACGTATCCTTTCATGAGCTCCAGCCTCAACCCCAGCTTCTAGCAGTGAAGTTGGTTTTGTCCCGCCCTTTCCTGCACCCAATGAAACATTTTGAGTTTCAGTCACCCTACAAAAGTCAAGCTCCCACTTTTGTACTGCCTTCTTCCAGATCAGGAGCTCAGTACTCCTGTGGCTTCTACCTCACTCTCACCACCTTGTTCTCTCATTCTGCTTCTCTTCCTCAGAAAGTTTTATTTTGTGTTTAAGCCCAGCAAAGTCTTTTTGGTTCTTTCTTTTTAGATATTATTTGTAGTGCCTCCATATTTGGAGTAGAGAAAGTGCTCAGAGTATGAATTTACCAAACTATTTTGAGCAGTAGTTTGATGTAAACTTTTGAAGAGTAAAAGATTTATCAAAACTCTTATAAAGCTAAAACAACCATTTTTAATTTTAAACTCTCATACCGTATAAATTATCCTCAACAACCTTTTATCCTAAAATAACAAAAGAATCTTACATGGACACATTTGTGTGGTGGTAAAAGAATTTAAATAAAAGAATTACGATATCTGAAAGCTTATTCACAGAGGTGTTCAACAGAGGCTTGGGAGCTGTTACGTTGCTTGTTGCTGGGCAAATCACATCTTAAACTGGTGCACTTTCCGAAGAAAATCTCGTGTATTTCCTCTTCTAATTTCTCTTTTCAGACATCTGTTTTCCTCCATGATTGTCGAAAAGTTCACCCAGGATTATCTGTGGCTTTCAGTTGCAACTCGGCATCCCTGGAACCAGTTTACAAGGGTCCAACGGCTGTCTTGCTGCATGACACTGCTACTCTGCAACATGGTCATCAATGTTATGTTCTGGAAGATAAACAGCACCACTGCCAAGAGAGATGAGCAATGTACGGATGAGCCCTGATGTGTGTTGTTTGTAGTAAGCAATCCTTTTTTTTTTTTTTTTTCTTTGGCAGGGTCTCACTCTGTTATCCAGGCTTGGTCTGGAACTCCTGGCCTCAAGTGATCCTCCTGCCTCACCCTCCTGAAATGCTGGGATTACAGGCATGAGTCACCATGCCTAGCCTACTATGTAATACTTTTACTGTACTCCATTCTCCTTACTTTCAGGGTTAGAAACAGAATCATGTTGTGTGATATGGTTTGGCTCTGTGTCCCCACCCAAATCTCACATCCACCTGTAATCCCCTGTATTGGGGGAGGGACTTGCTGGGAGGTGACTGGATCATGGGGGCAGTTTCTCCCATGCTTTTCCCATGATAGTGAGTGAGTTCTCATGAGATCTGATGGTTTAATTGCTTGAACTGAACCACGGAGGCAGAGGTTGCAGTGAGCCGAGATTGCACCACTGCACTCCAGCATGGGTGACAAAGCAAAACTCCATCTCGGAGGGGGGATAAAAACAGTGCGTGGCAGCTCCCCTGTCACTCTTCTGCCGCCATGCAAGATGCCTTGCTTTGTAAGGCATGGGAAGTGTAATGCCACGTAAGGTGCTTTGTAGTGCTTTGTAATGCTTCGTGATGCCATGTAAGGTGTCTTGCTTCTGCCATGATTGTAAGTTTCCTGAGGCCTCCCCAGCCATGAAGAACTGTGAGTCAATTAAACCTCTTCTCTTTATAAATTACCCAGTCTCAGGTAGTTCTTTATAGCATTGTGAAAACAGACGAATACATTATGCCTTCATTTTTCCTCCACTGCCCTGGCATTAGAATACCCTAACAAATGTTCTCGGTGTTCTCATTCATTAACAAATGAAGCAGTATTAGGAACACAACATGGTCTTTACTGCCATGATAATTTTATCCCTAGATAAATGTAGTTAACTTCCTCAGTGAATAGTTAAACCTAGGAGAGGGATGACTTTGCGATTATGTTAATTGTTGATGATAAAAGTTGACGTCATGCTTTTCTTTCAGTGGGTCCATTTGCTGTGGCCTGGTCTGAGCTGCTGATCAGCATCCACACTGCTGTCATCCTCTTCCCCATCAATCTTGTCATTGGGCGGCTCTTCCCGTTGATTGAGCCACAGGAGACTCTGCCCCACTTTCCTCCCATCCAGGCCTCCTGCCTCTCAGATGCTTCTGCTGAGCCTCTCTCTGCCACAATGGTAGTTGAGGTAAGTTTGATATCAAATTTTATTTTATATTTTATTTTATTGCTTGCTTATTTCTTTTGAGATAGGGTCTGGCTCTGTTGCAGAGGCTGGAGAGTGCAGTGGTGCAACCTCAGCTCACTGTAGCAGCCTCAAACTCCCGGGCTCAAGCAATCCTCCCACCTCAGCCTCCCAAGTAGCTGGAACTACAGGCATGTGACACCATGTCTGGCTAATTTTTGTATTTTTCTGTAGAGACAGGGTTTCACCATGTTGTCCAGGCTGGTCTCAAACCCTTGGGCTCAAGCCATCCTCCCACCTTGGCCTCCCAAAGTGCTGGGATTACAGGCGTGAGCTGCCACACCCAGCCAGTATCAAATTTTACAGATGAATTATATGCACCCGGCCAGGCACGGTAGCTCACACCTGTAATCCTAGCACTTTGGGAGGCCGAGGTGGGCAGATCACGAGGTCAGGAGAGAGAGACCATCCTGGCTAACACGGTGAAACCCCGTCTCTACTAAAGAGATAAAAAAAAAAAAAAAGCCAGGTGTGGTGGCATGAGCCTGTAGTCCCAGCTACTCAGGAGGCTGAGCCAGGAGAATCTCTTGAACCCAGGAGGCAGAGGTTGCAGTGAGCCAAGATCGCGCCACTCACTGCACTCCAACCTGGCGACAGAGCAAGACTCTGTCTCAAAAAAAAAAAAATTACATGCTCCCCTTCCCCACACAGTGGAAGAGAGCAGTGGGAAGAATCTCATGGGAGGCTGTCAGGGTCCTGTTAACCTGTAATACATTTTTCCCAGTTCCTGTCCCCTGAGCTGTGATCAACCACACGCTTAGCTTTTACTCTTGATGATTAAGTATTCTGAGAACTAAATGGAAGTGCATGGGCACTACTCTGGCCTTGCTTTAGTCTTTGATGTTTGATCAAATTGTCTCTTTTTTCATTCTGTATTCTCTCATAAAACTGGTATTGAAGCTACGGTGAGCTATGAGGTGACTGCTTTCTGAAAAATTCAAGGAACATGGAAAAATTGCGGTTCTTCATGCTGAGCAAATCCCCTTCTGACTAAAGGAAACGGCCTTACCACCTGTAATTGCTACAAATGCTGGGTTAATGAAAAACAGGCTGATTTTTCTCATCTTGGTCCTACATTCAGGAGTTAAAGGAAACTGTGAGATTCCTGCTCAGGAGAAATACATACCTACTCTCCAAGTGTGAGCAGCTGCCATGGAGTTCTTGTGACATTACTAAGCTGGTGAAACTTCTATCCAGCCTCATATCGTCTCACTTGGAGGGTCAAAGCTATCATCAGCAGGCAGAGCGCCACTGGGCACGCGGTAAACTTCAGTAGATTTCAGTAGCAATCATCCATCCGCCTCCCACTCCCTTGCATGTCTCTTACTTTCTTACTCATTCATAACCGACAGGCCTGATACAACCTTCTGGTTGTTTTAATTTCCTTAAGCTTCTAATATAGAGTTGATAGCTTTGTTCCCCTTGATGATTTCTAGACAATCTATCTCTATCTGGTGATACAAAGTACAGGATTAAGTAAAAAACACAAGCCAGGCATGGTGGCTCACGCCTGTAATCCCAGCACTTTGAGAGGCCAAGGTGGGTGGATTATCTGAAGTCAGGAGATCAGGGCCAGCCTGGCCAACATGGCAAAACCCTGTCTCTACTAAAAATACAAAAATGAGCTGGGCGTGGGGGCGGGCGCCTGCAGTCCCAGCTACTGGGGAGGCTGAGGCAGGAGAATTGCTTGAACCCAGGAGGCAGAGGTTGCAGTGAGCTGAGATCGGGCC